TTACTCTTACTATTTTCCTATGCCAAGTGCACACCAAGACTCTAAATGAAAGTTTTTTTTTAATTTATTTTCCTTCATGGTGGAAAGCACTTCTCTGGAAATAGTTTAAGGGTTTTGGCATCATCAAAAAGGGGGAAATTGTAAGGAATAAATGTAATTAGATTTTGATGATGCTATAAGACTATAAAGTTAGATTACCCCCATATTAGATTTTATGTATTAGACTTTTCAATTGTAAGTATTAGTATAGTCGACGATCAGAGTTGCTCTATTTTGGATCAGATCAGAAGTGCATCAGAACTGCTCGACCAGACTTGCTCTATGAGAACTGCTTCATCAGAGTTCTCTTAGCAGAAGTCCATCAGAGTTGCATCATGAGAGTTGCTGATAAACTTGGACATCTGATAACCGATGAGGACTACAGATCAAAGGTACTCATCAGCGGACATATCAGAGTCAGAGTTAGAGCTCTATCCGAGATCAGAAAGCCATCAGAATCCAACACATCAGAAGAGCCTGATCAGAGCCCGACTAACACTTAGAAGATTTCAAGCAACATCCAACAGCTATGAATTCAACGGGTAAAACATCCAACGGCTAGAAGACTGTGCATGAAAGGAAAGCATTTAATGCACATTAAATGAGCCTGATACGCTGAAGGATTGATTGCAAATGATTGACCAAGGAATCCGGGAAGATATATTATAAAAATAGAAACCTTCCAAAACGGCGGTCAAGTCAACTGTACGCGCATTTAATGCAGTTGTCTCCTCCTCCAACGGGCAGACAACCCCAGTATATAAGCTACTCACCGAAGAACAGGGAAACAACCTTGCTACAACCTTTGCTCAACAAAAGTTTCAAGCTTTCTTGAGATTCAAACTTCATAACACTCTACAAGAAAAGTCAACGTTGGGAAGATTCAAACTCCAAATCTTTCATCCCCAACAACGAGCAAAGTTCATCCTGTTCTTCAACTCTTCAAGATCTTCATCAAACATCATTTGTAACGAAGCAAGTTGGAGAAAACTCTGTTTTCAGAACATCTTCTGAAAAGAAGGGCGTCCAAGTAACTGCAGTAGTGAAGTGGTGATACTTCCGGGAAGCTGAGTGAAAGGACCAGTCATCAGGAAGCAGGATTGCATCCCGGGTGACAACTAGACTTGGAGAAGGCGTGGAGAACTTCTTAAGTGCTAGGGACTAAGCTTTGTAACCGATCTACTTCAAAGCTAGTGGAACAGTGGACTAGAGGAACGAGTTGTTCCTTGAACCACTATAAAAATATCCAGTGTCGTTTATTTTACTGCAATTTATTTTCCTGCACTTAGGATATTAACTGCTTAACTCTAAGACTTGGAATCTGTGTTCAGCAGATCTTGTTTTCAGAGTTATCAGAAAGGCATTTGCCTTAGTATTTCTGAGGCTACCCGGACAGATCAGAATCCGCTGCCAAGGCCAGTTCTGATATCAGAACCAGCCTTTCTCTGTCATCAGAATCAGACCTTCTCTGATAAGTCACTTCGGACTTAGAGAAAATTTGAAAAACCGACCAGTCTATTCACCCCCCCCCCCCTCTAGACTGGTTACCATATTAAACGGGACCAACAGTTATTAATAACGAGACGCGTTCATTAATAAAACTTACTACCAAGCCAATAAAGAACACGCGCCGTATATTCACTCGATATTAGCAATAAAATCAAGATTCACAAGCGGTTTATTGGTTTAATCAATATAATTAATTCCCCTTAGATTATTAACCATGAGACACATGCATTAATAATCCAAGTTTACTACTGTGAAAGGACCGAATTAATAACAAGCGTATTAATCGACCGATTCTAGTATTAATTAATATATGAAACAAAACTAGTTGATCCTTTAAGTAATGCTAAAAATATTAATATGGAATAGGAATAGGAATTAATTAATATTCAAGGAAGAAGATTAAAGAAAATAACTCAACAACTTACAATTCATTAAGCTTCAAAGTAGCAAAACCAAGATGGAAGAGTTTAGCTCCTCATTTGGAGACTAAACATGAGAGAAAATATAAAGAAAACACTAATCTAAACTGAGCTAAAGAGTATATGTGAATTGGTGATTTTATTGTGAAGGAAAGGGGTGTATTTATAGGCTTTTGGGAGCTGCAGGGTCTGATACCCGATCGGGTATATAGGATGCCCGATCGGGTATCTTAGGAAATTGCCCAGAAAGTCACTTTTATGGGCATACTCGATCGGGTATGTCGGCATACTCGATCGGGTATGTGACAAATCTTCACGAAAATTTGTTCCCACGATCATTTGTTCCCGGATTTGATTTGGACAATCGAATCAAGCGAATACCCGATCGGGTATAGGCAATACCCGACCGGGTACATGAGTATTTTTTCCAAATCGAAATCTTTCTTGTCTCCTTGCACTTTCCTTGATCTTTTAAGGTCCAATCTTGATCCCTTGGATGATTTTGACTGTTTAGCTCAGAATAATCCTAATCTAAACAAATTACAAATAAAAATGAAAATAAAATATTACACCAAAAGTGTGTAATTTCCACAACTAGAACTAATAAAAACTAGTTAAAAATACAAACATACATTCGGAAATTACACGAATATCAACTCCCCCATACTTAGCTTCTTTACTCGTCCTCGAGTAAAGTCAAATGTTTAACACTTCCAAATCCAGCTGTTGGTCCCAAAATAAGGATGTATTGAACAGCAAAATACGATCTATAACAATATAGGTAAGGTCTAGATAATGATATGATCAATCTAAGAGCAATAGAGCCTTACGCTATACTATCGAGAAGTATGAAAACTTTTTTTTTTAGAGAATAAAATAGTACTGTATTGCTGATTTTTTTTGGTCCTGTACCACAAGTACGCGTATTTATAGGCGCAGGTACAGGTACCGAGAATGGTAACCTAGAACTCTGGGCCTAGGCCTTTTTGGGCCTTAAACCCTTAGTTGGATTTATTACATCATAAATACATTAAAACGTTAATCTATTCTAGATAAATAAACAAGACATCAGACAAGCTTGATCACAATTAATATTTTTCCTCAACAATCTCCCCCTTTGTGATCAAGTGCCGTCTTGCTTCTTCTTCTCTTCACTTTTGAGCTTTATAATAATTCTTTCTGAGATTAAGTGCGTGCTCATAGTTTCTGAGTGAATTTCTTCTATCAAGTTGCTTTTCGATGGCCTGTAGGATGTTGTCAATTCTGTGTGCCTCTTTTAATTCAGCATCTGTGGCATCTGCATACTGTTGCTGTCTTTCTTTGAATGCTTCTCTGATCGGTTGCAGTTTTTCTTTCACAATCTTCAGGGTTCCGTCACAGTATTTGTTAATTTCATCAATGAATAGCATACGTTTCTCACCATTGTGGTTCAGATAGATAAGCGTGATTGGACTATCAAAGATGTAATACTCAGGAAAGTCTTCCAATTCTTGTCCATACAGATTTGGTCTTGTGAGGTTCGTCTTTGGCATGTTTGTTTCAAGAGCCATCTGAAGATCATGAGAGGCAAAGAATTTGATTTGTCTGATCATAAACCGCTTGAGTGCATGCAGCCCATCTTGTGTAATTTTGTCACGAATGCCTGGAATTTCCTGGAATGCAAGATACATCTGATAGATGTCGTCCATCTTTAGCATGTAGAGATCATTTTCCTTGCATGTGAATACAGTTCCGTCAGAGCGCTGAAGCTGGTAGACTGATAGTTTGATATCTTGAAAACTGGTTTCAACCACATTGAGAACAGCCCAGACAGGGTCCTTGGCTGTTTGAAGTTCGTGTTGCCAGACTTCTCTCTGTTTTCCCATATAGTGATGACTAAGTAGAAACAGCTGTCCGCCCTTGTTTTGTCCTCGTAGATGGTTAAGACCACGAATCTTCAATTCATCCAGTTCTCTGACCTTATCCTCTTTTCGCCAGATGTTTTCCCTAATTTCCTCTTGAAAGGGGGCATTGATGTCGATCTTTTCCCAGGGCTTCTCATTTCTGGGCATTTGAGCCGCTGTTTGTCTAATGATCGCCTCAAGCTCCTTGGGTGGTGTCTCATAGTTTTCTCCCTCCTTGAGTTCATCTTGATCAAGTAGAATCACATCAGCAGCACAGTTGCCTAAGAGATCTCTGAGGTATGCTCTTCGCTGTGCTTCATCTACATCTGTCCAGAGTTCAGACCATTTGTTATGCACCAGCATTTCCTCAAGTTCATCGTGCATTTGATCATTGTAGTAGCTGGAGGAAGCCTGTTGCTGCTGTGGCGACATGTCTGGCGTAGCATCGGGATCCTGGTGAGACTTGCAGGGATCCTCAATTATCTCAACACGATGCTCTTGCGCAGAGACTAGACCTCTATACTTCGTTACATGCGTCCAATCCTCCCTTGGCTGAGAAAGTGAAACACCGGGATCCTCAGGATTGCCCGTTGACATCAGTTTCGAACTAGGTTCTAGCTGATGGCCTGAGTAAGAAGATGTACTCGTGGTAGCATCATCAGGACTTCCAATCCGTCCTTGGTTAACATCTATAGGGGATGCACCTCGGGATGTTATGTCTAGCTCGACCATGCTAGAGAGAGTGGCTAGGGATTTATGGCTGGCTGAAGTAGTGGGTTGCTCATTGGTAGAGGTGGAGGGTTGGTTTGGCTTTGAGGGTTGGCTAGTAGAAGCAACATGCTCAAGTATCCGCGGGCGCTTGTTCTCCCTCTCATGAGAATCTGAATCATCAGGATCCTCATGTGAACGTTTAGCGCCACGGAGACTGTCACGACATGTGTTCTGTGTATCTAGAGCATGGAGAAGGGCTTTTTGAAGAGGGGTGAGGTTGCCTTCTTCCACGTCTAGTATACGGTCGTAGATCTCAGCTACAAGATCCTCGAAGCGTACAGTTGTTAGGTTGGGTTTGGTCGTTGTAGGGGAGAATACTTGTAACACCCCCATTTTTCCCACCAAAATAAAATAACATTTTGAAATGAAAACATCTTTATTATAAAACATATTTAGAGTACAGCGGAAGTCTTTAATGGAAAAACAGGTGTGTCACCGCCACACTCAACCTATACATGATTGAGTGCACAGGCTATCCACCATAAATTCAAGTAGCCATCGGATAAAACTTAAAACAAGTTTATGGATTACAATTTTAAACAACAATAATTAATCAAACGTGTGCAACTAGCGGAACACTCGGGCAGCAAGTACATCAATCTTCATAATCATAATCATCTGTACAATAGAGCAAAGAGAAAAAGAGAAAAGAGACAAAAATTAGCTTTAGAGCTAAGTAAGATTCCACCCGAACCCGTAAAATAATATAATTTGGAAAATAGGTTTTTGTATATGTATATATATTGAAAAGTAGTCTCTCATATTTCCAAAATGGTTTAATGTCATAAAATAATTTCCACAATAGATAATATCATCCTTCAATTCCTCCAAAAGTAATACTTTAGATTCTTTTAAGAGTGGGCGAAACTCAAGATTCCTCGAGCCCAATGAGTCGTTGTTATCTACGACTCATCCCGGAATTCCGGCTCCCACCGACCACCAATTGGAAGCTGAATTTCTACCTTAAGTGTGCACACCCTCTAAAAGGGATTCCAAGCCCTCCGAGTAGTAAGAAACCCAAGTAGGCAGGATGTTTTCTACCACCTACTCACAAGGGACATTGTCCAAGGGTAAATTAGGTAACTACTACTACGACCACCAAAGGATCTTTGATCCTCAAATAAAAGCCCGGGATGTCTACCGGAGTATGTCATTGCCGGACTGGTTACCGACCCAAATAAATTTCACCAAAAGTAGTAGTAGCCCTAACCACCCACGCCTCGTGTTTCTCTCGAGACGTAAGAATATATATTATGAAAACTTTAAGTTTTCCCCAAATCATTCTTGTCACATTTTCTCAAAATATCCTTTGTAATAAATATAAATCCACCAATATTCTTTAGTAAAAAGAATATACATTTAATCATCCATAAAAGGTAATAATCCACCAATATTCATATAGTCAAAATATCCGATCCATGTCAAACATATAATTTCCAATTCATAAATAATTCACGTAGTGCAAATATTGCATACATATAAGTACGAGGCAAAACATTTTGGTTGACATAGAACTTACCTTAAATTGCGATAATCTCCTTAATAAAATCTCTAGCTTGATCTTCACTTGAATTCTTCTTCTAATATTGATCAAAATTCTAAATCAATAACTATTCTATTATTTCGTTATTTCTTATATATCCAACCTTTAATTACTTTAACTTCATAATTCCTTCTTTAAATATGAATATTAAATTAAATTAATAAATCTTACTAAATTTTTATTTCCAGCCCATTCTTATTATTTTCTTTAATTATAATAATCCAACTCGATTTTTCTTTAATTTTATTTGGTTAAATAGTTAACTGGTCCAATTAGTTTAACTATATAATGATATCATCATTTCGAATTAAATAAGTATTTTTAGTCCAAAAATTCAGTTTACATAATGTACATAATTTTTTTTTATAAATCTTCTAATAGTAATTTCATGTAAACAATATTTCAAAATAATAGTAATTAATGATAGTTTAATCTCAATAACCACTTTAATTAGTTCAATGGTTTATTTATACTAACTAACCCAATTAAATTAATTAATCCAATCATCCAGTTTTATTTATTTTATTTACTAATTTAATTGAACTAACTAAATTCAATAAATAAGTTTAATTATAGCAATATAGCTAAATACATTAATCTAATTCAATTAAGGCCAATAATAAGCTTCTAATCTCGTTTTAATTTTCTATATAAAGTCCAAAAATATTACCACATCCATAATTTAACCAATTTATCCATTAAACTAATTCATTTAGTTAAACTACTCCAATGAAGTCAATTAACTAAATCACTAAGTACACATTACTTAATTAATTGGTTTATATTAATCAACTAATTTTTTTTTATGAGTTCAAATAGTTTAATAATATATATGGAGTCCAAATCACTAATAATCAAGGATAATAATTATTAATTTAATCACACTAATTTAATTAGTCCACTAATTCAATAATTTATTTATTGAGTCCAAATATAGTCATTCATTTATACTAGATAACCCAACTTTATTTTCTTTTCCTTATTTTATTACAAACATCATTTTTAGTCCAGAACATTATTTTCAATCTTAGTGATTTATTTATTTCACCATTAATATCAAAATTTTCTTATTTAATTACTTAACTAGTTTTATATGGCCTAATCAAATTAAATGGCTTAAAAATCGACTTTATAAATTTATTACATTCCATAACTACATTTTGGGTCTATATTTGACCTAGGTTGTCCAGATATTTATTTTAGAATTATTTCCCTTATTTATTCACTTAATTTCATATATCTATTAACCGGTTTAATTACAATTAAGTATGCTAATCATAATTTTTATTAATTATAAATGGTCCCAAATGTCCTAGTTAGTCATATATTTAATCCAGCTTGCTCCAATATTTATTTCATAATTTATTTCGTTATTTAGTTAATTATTTACTAAATATGTACAAATTGGCCCAATTACAATTAAATCAATTAAAAATAGCTACAAATATTATTTTTCAATTATTCTTGGTCTGAATATGTATTTTTAAACCAGGTATTTAATTTATATTTTTACAGATTTTATTTATTTCATTTACTATTTTATTTTTAATTTTTATTGAAAATGGGCCGAACCGGCCCAAATTCGCGACCCGGCCCAAGAAGACTGGGTTGTCTCCTTCCCAGCTTCTCCAGGTCGCGATTCCGGCGACCGGAATCCCGAAAACTTCGGCGAGCGATAACTTTACTTACAGGTAACGGATTTAAACGATTCAAGTTGCAAAATGATCCTGACGTCGAGGAGAAGCTCCGCCACCCCTATCTACGGCCAAATTTCCGCACTTGCTGAAGACCCATTTCCTTGGCTTGCAACTCCGGCGACCTCTAGGATGCTCCGGTGACTACGAATCGGTCTGGAATTTATTGGGAAATATTCCTAGACCTCTCACGACCCTCCTCTCTTGTTTATAGGCAATTTCTTACGTAAATTTATATATGTGTATTTTTCCGGCGAGTAAGTATATATATATATATTCTCTACTCGTTTTCTTCACTTTGTGGTGATTTAGAATGGGAAGGAAGCTGTATTTATAGCTGTAGATCGATCATTCTAGGCTGAATCATACATGGAGTGATTGGTTTGAATTATTTCTTCATTATTATTCAATATTATTATACATAGTATTATGAACATGCATGTGTAAATGTTGGTTGTTCTAATGCATTCTAAGTCTAGTCCGCAAGTTCATTGCATATATTATTACCTCTATTTGTATTATTGTGAACACCTATGTGTATGATTGTCATCCACAAGTTACATTTTATGTGTATATGTATATTATTACATGTTACAAAATGTCACTTATAATACTTTGATATTTATTTTTATTTACCTTGTCAGATATATTTTATCTGATTTATTTTTATTTTTATTTATTTTATTTTATTTTATTTTTTCCGATGCCACATAAGTGTTTAATTTTCATTGCATGTAGTGTGCGTATATTTTTATACACCAAGTATAAAAAAAATATTTTGATCTTACTTTCATTTGATTTATCAGATATAACTTATCTGATTTATTTATTTATTTTTATTTCAAATTTTCAAGGTATCACATTCTACCCTCCTTAAAGAATGCTTCGTCCTCGAAGCATAAACTAAGACGCGAATTAAGTATGAAGATGAATTATTATAGGTTTATAAGATATGACAACCTGCCCCCCTAAAAGAAAGGTTACGTCCTCGTAACCGAATATTTACCTTAATTGAAAAGTTCAGGATACCGTTTACGCATATCCTCTTCTGTCTCCCATGTTGCATTCTCGGTCAAATGGTTTGACCAAAGTACTTTTACCATCTTAACTGTCTTCTTCCTTGTCTCTCGGGTCTTAGTATCGAGAATCTCTATGGGTTTTTCTTCGTAGGATAATGTCTCATCCATTTCAATCACCTAATAATATAACGGTTAACTTATATTCTTTTCAATTTACGTTTGGCTCATCTCGAACATACTTCTTTAATTGTGATACGTGAAAGACGTTATGTACCTAGCATATATCGGTATGTTAAGAATGTATTTTAATCGTAGAGAAGTATTTGATTTCAAATCGGTTGTTACCTTATCCAACTCCGTGGGTAGAGCTAATCGATATGCCACTTTTCCCACCTTCTCTAGGATGTCATAGGGTCCGATGAATCTCGGACTTAGTTTCCCTTTCTTCCCGAACCTCATTACGCCTCTTGTAGGAGAGACTTTGAGTAGAACTTTCTCCCCTAGTTCGAATTCAGCTGGTTTTCTCCCAAGATCGGCATATGATTTCTGTCGGTCTTGGGCAGCCTTCATCCTTTCTTGGATGACCTTGATTTTCTCAATAGTATCTTGCAAGTATTGTGGTCCTAGAACCACCTGATCGACCATGTCACCCCAACATAAGGGACTCCTACACTTTTGACCATATAGAGCTTCGTATGGGGCCATTCTGATGCTAGCATGGTAACTGTTATTGTACGAAAACTCTACCAAGTCTAGGTGTTCATCCCATGATCCTTGCAAATCAAGAACACATGCCCTCAACATGTCTTCTAATGTTTGGATTGTTCTTTCGGTCTGTCCGTCCGTGGTTGGATGGAAAGCAGTACTTAACTTCAATTTTGTTCCCATAGCCGTTTGTAATTCTTTCCAAAATTGGGATAAGAATCGTGAATCTCGGTCTGATACGATGTCTTGAGGTACTCCGTGGTGTTTGACCACGTGTTTGACATAGGCTTTTGCCAGTTTCTCCATGCTCCAGGTTTCATTCATAGGAATGAACCTTGCAGTTTTGGTCAATCTATCCACTACCACCCAAATTTTATCTTTCCCGGACTTTGTTAAAGGTAAACCCCCGACAAAGTCCATTGAGATTGAATCCCATTTCCATGTTGGTACTTCCAAGGGTTGCACGAGTCCCTTGGGTTTGCATCTCTCCGCTTTGACTTTTTGGCAGTTCAAACATCGGGATACAAATTCGGCTATTTCTTTCTTCATTCCCGGCCACCAAAAGTTCTTCTTGAGGTCTTTGTATAGTTTGTCTCCCCCGGGATGTACCGAGTAGGGCGTGTTGTGTCCCTCCTCCATGATTTGTTTTTTAATATCTGCACACTTCAGTGGAACACACCATCTTCCCTTGTATCGGATGCTCCCATCTTCATGCATCTTAAATGGTCCGTTGACGCCATCTTTCATTCCTTCCTTGACTCTTTCGAGCTTTACATCTCCCGGTTGTCCGTTCTTGATTTCGTCAAAGATAGATGGTATAACAGTCATAGTACATAACTGTATTTCACCATCTACTTCGCCATATTGCTTTACTTCCAAGCTCAATCTTTGGAAGTCTCGGAATAGTTCTTCTGGTAATATCCATGTTGCTCGGCATGAGTGCTCAGATTTCCGGCTCAAAGCATCCGCCACCACGTTAGCTTTTCCCTCGTGGTATTGGATTTCTAGATCGTAATCATTGATAAGCTCGAGCCATCTTCTTTGCCTCATGTTAAGCTCTTTTTGAGTGAATATGTACTTCAAGCTTTTGTGGTCAGTGTATATCTTACAATGTGCTCCGTATAGGTAATGTCTCCAGATTTTCAAAGCAAACACTACTGCAGCTAACTCCAGGTCATGGGTAGGATAATTGACTTCATGCACCTTTAGTTGTCTTGATGCATAAGCCACCACTTTCCTATTTTGCATTAGCACACACCCCAACCCCTTTTTGGATGCATCACTATAAATATCAAATCCCTCCGTCCCTGACGGTAGTGTCAAGACCGGTGCAGTTGTGAGTCTTTTCTTCAACTCTTGGAATGCTGCTTCACAATCTTCATTCCATTGGAACTTGGTTGTCTTCTTTGTCAGATTGGTTAGCGGTCTTGCTATCTTGGAGAAATCTTTAACAAATCTCCTATAGTATCCCGCTAGACCCAAGAAACTTCTTACCTCTGTGACCGAGGTAGGTGCACGCCATTCAACCACCGCTTCAATCTTCGATGGATCTACGGATACGCCTTCCTGGGTGATGATGTGACCCAAGAATGCTACCCGATTCTGCCAGAAGTCACACTTTGAGAGTTTGGCATACAACTGGTTCTCTCTCAAAGTTTGTAACGTGAGTCTCAAGTGTTTCTCGTGATCCTCCGGGGTTTTTGAATACACAAGAATATCATCGATGAATACCACCACAAATGTATCAAGATAAGGTCGGAATACACGGTTCATTAAGTCCATGAATACCGCCGGTGCATTTGTTAAACCAAACGGCATCACAGTGAACTCGTAGTATCCATACCTCGTGCGGAATGCTGTTTTTGGTACATCTTTTTCGGATATTCTCACTTGATGATATCCAGAGCTCAAGTCTATCTTAGAGAACGTGCTAGCCCCCTTCAATTGATCAAACAAGTCGTCAATTCGGGGCAATGGATACTTGTTCTTGATAGTTGCTTGATTCAACTCTCGGTAATCGATGCATAGCCTTAGACTCCCATCTTTCTTTTTGACAAATAAGACCGGAGCGCCCCAAGGTGAGACACTCGGTCTTATGTACCCCTTCTCTAACAACTCTTCTAGTTGTTCCTTCAGCTCCTGCATTTCTTTCGGTGCCATCCGGTAAGGTGCTTTTGAAATTGGCGTGGTTCCGGGCATCAACTCAATTGAGAATTCAACTTCTCTCTCGGGTGGCATCCCTGGAATCTCTTCCGGAAATACATCCGGAAATTCATTGACTACGGCAATTTGGTCAATGTTTGGATCCCCTGTATTCACCTCTTTCATAAAGCACAGGTATGTTTCATACCCCTTTCGGATATGTCGCTTTAATTGTTGCATAGTCATCAGCCTCATACTAGGCTTGGATGTGATTGCTTTGTAAGATATTCGCTTCCCATTTGGACCCTTCAAGATCACCTTCTGTTCATCACAGAGGATCCTGGCTTTGTATTTCCCCAACCAATCCATGCCCAGTACTATGTCAATATCTTTTAAGTCAAATTGGATTAAATCTCCAGGTAGGTTGGATTCAGATATGAGTATGGGAATGTTGGAGTATACATTTCCACAAGTTACAAATTTATCTGAGGCGGTTCTTACATTCAAGTCTATTCTAGCCGTTGGTTCAATCTTCAATTTCTTAACGAAACTAGAAGATATGAAACTGTGAGAAGCACCAGAATCAAATAGAACATAAGCAGGCTAAGAATTTACAAGGAATGTACCTGAAACCACATCATTAGCATTGGCTTGGGCCTGATTCATCACCATGATTCGCCCTTGGTTCGGACGGTTGCCGTTGTTTCCGCCGTTGCCATTGTTCCCGCCATTGCCATTGCCATGATTATTCTCCCCTCCTCCTCGAGGGTTGCGGTTGTTGTTGGCGGCGGCATTGTTGTTATTTTGTCCTCCATTTGGCCCAGCTTGGTTCATATCTGGCCTTCCTCCATCACGGTATTGCACCTGGTGCACTGGTGCCCCATTGGTCTTTGAGAGACACTCGAAGGTTCGGTGCCCTAGCTTCCCACAATTGAAACATTTTGTCAGGCTTCCATCGCAATTAACACCAGGATGATCTCTCCCGCACCTCTTGCAGTAGAAGTGTCTATCTCTGGGAGCAACTCTTCGATCATTTTGTTGGTTTTGACCGTGGAAATTTCTTCCACCTTGGTCATCTCTCCTCCTCCTCCCTTCTTGTTGCTGTGTAGGTGGTTGCACTCTGACCCTCTTTTCTCCTCGACCTCCATCTTCGTCCCTCTTCATCTTCTGGTTCCTCTCTCTTTGTAGTTGCTGAACTCGATAGTGAACTGCAGCTCTATCATAAGCTTCAGTCAGAGTTTGGCAACCCAAAACAGCGACGATTTTCTGCGTATCATAGTTTAATCCGTAGATAAATTTCTCAACTTTGGTGCTTTCATCAGGCACTATTGTTTTCGCAAATGGCGCGAGGTCCACGAATTTATTGTGATATTCCTGGACACTCATGCCCATCTGTTTCAAATGTATGAATTCATCACGCATGGTGGCCTGAACGTGTGCAGGATAAAAACGTTTCCTCATGGCAATCTTGAAAGCTTCCCAATTGAAGTCAGGTTGTTGACGTAAAGTTGGGCCTGATGAGACCCACCAGTTATCTGCCTCTTGCTGTAAATAGTAAACAGCAATGTCAACCCTTTGCTCTTCCGGACAGCTCACCGCGTCGAAGAGTTTGTCAAAGAGTCGGAGCCAATTCTCGAGGATACGAGGATCTTCTTGCCCATGAAAGCTTGGAGGGTTGCGAGATGCCACTCGTTTTGCGGCATCATTCCCGTTGTTCTGGTTTTGGTTGTTCTGGAGCACAGTAGCACCCAGTGTGTGCATAAATTGTGCCAGTTGCTGAACGCTTTGTGCCAACTCAGCATTGGTGGGCGTGTTATCAGGGTCTCTTCTTGGTGCCATGATATCTTGATGACACAAAGTATTCGTGTAAGAATTTCTATATTTTACTCCTAAGGATCCTAGTTCAACTAAGGATTCCATAGGCTATGTAACAAGAATATATAAAAATGTACATAACAATCATACAGAGGATTCATACTTCACATAAGATCACTTTCGCACATAATGTTTGTACATACCTTAGCCACTTAGGAATTTTGCCTTATGAGGCATTCCATTTAGCATTTGGGGTTCCCATTTCTCATATGGGCCCACAATTAGCATAATTATCACATACATGATACATGTAAGGAAAATAAATACTCACAAGGTCCTCACCACGTTCCTAAAAGGCCATTTCCTAGCTATATTATCTTTCCTAATTTTAAAAATATTTGAAAATCTCCCTTTTGAAGGTACAATTTCAAAGGTTTCCTTCAACGATTTCGAACGACGAAGTTTCAGCACAAGGAGAAATTCCCAGGTAGTTGGACGAGCGCAAAGGCTCAATTAAGAACCAACAGCCTTAGACTCTTATCGTCTTGGTGACAGAATTTCTCCATACAACCTATTACCTCGTGTTCTAATCCCTTTGGAAAACCTAAGGCTCTGATACCAACTTGTAACACCCCCATTTTTCCCACCAAAATAAAATAACATTTTGAAATGAAAACATCTTTATTATAAAACATATTTAGAGTACAGCGGAAGTCTTTAATGGAAAAACAGGTGTGTCACCGCCACACTCAACCTATACATGATTGAGTGCACAGGCTATCCACCATAAATTCAAGTAGCCATCGGATAAAACTTAAAACAAGTTTATGGATTACAATTTTAAACAACAATAATTAATCAAACGTGTGCAACTAGCGGAACACTCGGGCAGCAAGTACATCAATCTTCATAATCATAATCATCTGTACAATAGAGCAAAGAGAAAAAGAGAAAAGAGACAAAAATTAGCTTTAGAGCTAAGTAAGATTCCACCCGAACCCGTAAAATAATATAATTTGGAAAATAGGTTTTTGTATATGTATATATATTGAAAAGTAGTCTCTCATATTTCCAAAATGGTTTAATGTCATAAAATAATTTCCACAATAGATAATATCATCCTTCAATTCCTCCAAAAGTAATACTTTAGATTCTTTTAAGAGTGGGCGAAACTCAAGATTCCTCGAGCCCAATGAGTCGTTGTTATCTACGACTCATCCCGGAATTCCGGCTCCCACCGACCACCAATTGGAAGCTGAATTTCTACCTTAAGTGTGCACACCCTCTAAAAGGGATTCCAAGCCCTCCGAGTAGTAAGAAACCCAAGTAGGCAGGATGTTTTCTACCACCTACTCACAAGGGACATTGTCCAAGGGTAAATTAGGTAACTACTACTACGACCACCAAAGGATCTTTGATCCTCAAATAAAAGCCCGGGATGTCTACCGGAGTATGTCATTGCCGGACTGGTTACCGACCCAAATAAATTTCACCAAAAGTAGTAGTAGCCCTAACCACCCACGCCTCGTGTTTCTCTCGAGACGTAAGAATATATATTATGAAAACTTTAAGTTTTCCCCAAATCATTCTTGTCACATTTTCTCAAAATATCCTTTGTAATAAATATAAATCCACCAATATTCTTTAGTAAAAAGAATATACATTTAATCATCCATAAAAGGTAATAATCCACCAATATTCATATAGTCAAAATATCCGATCCATGTCAAACATATAATTTCCAATTCATAAATAATTCACGTAGTGCAAATATTGCATACATATAAGTACGAGGCAAAACATTTTGGTTGACATAGAACTTACCTTAAATTGCGATAATCTCCTTAATAAAATCTCTAGCTTGATCTTCACTTGAATTCTTCTTCTAATATTGATCAAAATTCTAAATCAATAACTATTCTATTATTTCGTTATTTCTTATATATCCAACCTTTAATTACTTTAACTTCATAATTCCTTCTTTAAATATGAATATTAAATTAAATTAATAAATCTTACTAAATTTTTATTTCCAGCCCATTCTTATTATTTTCTTTAATTATAATAATCCAACTCGATTTTTCTTTAATTTTATTTGGTTAAATAGTTAACTGGTCCAATTAGTTTAACTATATAATGATATCATCATTTCGAATTAAATAAGTATTTTTAGTCCAAAAATTCAGTTTACATAATGTACATAATTTTTTTTTATAAATCTTCTAATAGTAATTTCATGTAAACAATATTTCAAAATAATAGTAATTAATGATAGTTTAATCTCAATAACCACTTTAATTAGTTCAATGGTTTATTTATACTAACTAACCCAATTAAATTAATTAATCCAATCATCCAGTTTTATTTATTTTATTTACTAATTTAATTGAACTAACTAAATTCAATAAATAAGTTTAATTATAGCAATATAGCTAAATACATTAATCTAATTCAATTAAGGCCAATAATAAGCTTCTAATCTCGTTTTAATTTTCTATATAAAGTCCAAAAATATTACCACATCCATAATTTAACCAATTTATCCATTAAACTAATTCATTTAGTTAAACTACTCCAATGAAGTCAATTAACTAAATCACTAAGTACACATTACTTAATTAATTGGTTTATATTAATCAACTAATTTTTTTTATGAGTTCAAATAGTTTAATAATATATATGGAGTCCAAATCACTAATAATCAAGGATAATAATTATTAATTTAATCACACTAATTTAATTAGTCCACTAATTCAATAATTTATTTATTGAGTCCAAATATAGTCATTCATTTATACTAGATAACCCAACTTTATTTTCTTTTCCTTATTTTATTACAAACATCATTTTTAGTCCAGAACATTATTTTCAATCTTAGTGATTTATTTATTTCACCATTAATATCAAAATTTTCTTATTTAATTACTTAACTAGTTTTATATGGCCTAATCAAATTAAATGGCTTAAAAATCGACTTTATAAATTCATTACATTCCATAACTACATTTTGGGTCTATATTTTACCTAGGTTGTCCAGATATTTATTTTAGAATTATTTCCCTTATTTATTCACTTAATTTCATATATCTATTAACCGGTTTAATTACAATTAAGTATGCTAATCATAATTTTTATTAATTATAAATGGTCCCAAATGTCCTAGTTAGTCATATATTTAATCCAGCTTGCTCCAATATTTATTTCATAATTTATTTCGTTATTTAGTTAATTATTTACTAAATATGTACAAATTGGCCCAATTACAATTAAATCAATTAAAAATAGCTACAAATATTATTTTTTAATTATTCTTGGTCTGAATATGTATTTTTAAACCAGGTATTTAATTTATATTTTTACAGATTTTATTTATTTCATTTACTATTTTATTTTTAATTTTTATTGAAAATGGGCCGAACCGGCCCAAATTCGCGACCCGGCCCAAGAAGACTGGGTTGTCTCCTTCCCAGCTTCTCCAGGTCGCGATTCCGGCGACCGGAATCCCGAAAACTTCGGCGAGCGATAACTTTACTTACAGGTAACGGATTTAAACGATTCAAGTTGCAAAATGATCCTGACGTCGAGGAGAAGCTCCGCCACCCCTATCTACGGCCAAATTTCCGCACTTGCTGAAGACCCATTTCCTTGGCTTGCAACTCCGGTGACCTCTAGGATGCTCCGGTGACTACGAATCGGTCTGGAATTTATTGGGAAATATTCCTAGACCTCTCACGACCCTCCTCTCTTGTTTATAGGCAATTTCTTACGTAAATTTATATATGTGTATTTTTCCGGCGAGTAAGTATATATATATATTCTCTACTCGTTTTCTTCACTTTGTGGTGATTTAGAATGGGAAGGAAGCTGTATTTATAGCTGTAGATCGATCATTCTAGGCTGAATCATACATGGAGTGATTGGTTTGAATTATTTCTTCATTATTATTCAATATTATTATACATAGTATTATGAACATGCATGTGTAAATGTTGGTTGTTCTAATGCATTCTAAGTCTAGTCCGCAAGTTCATTGCATATATTATTACCTCTATTTGTATTATTGTGAACACCTATGTGTATGATTGTCATCCACAAGTTACATTTTATGTGTATATGTATATTATTACATGTTACAAAATGTCACTTATAATACTTTGATATTTATTTTTATTTACCTTGTCAGATATATTTTATCTGATTTATTTTTATTTTTATTTATTTTATTTTATTTTATTTTTTCCGATGCCACATAAGTGTTTAATTTTCATTGCATGTAGTGTGCGTATATTTTTATACACCAAGTATAAAAAAAATATTTTGATCTTACTTTCATTTGATTTATCAGATATAACTTATCTGATTTATTTATTTATTTTTATTTCAAATTTTCAAGGTATCACAATACTAGTTCTGTATCCTGGGTTCCCCTTGATGAGGATGGTTGTTGGTTTTCTATGGCTAAAGGTTTGGAAATAGGAATGGAAATGGTTGGGGGCTGTGTCGTTTGAGGTTTGGGTGGTATATCCTGAACAACTGGGGTACTTCCAGAGTCTTGTGCACTAGCGGTTATTGCTTCATGCACCCATGGCTTAATGGTAGACTCTAGAAAGCTATTCAGATATACGAGAATGTCTTCGGGGATAATGGTACCAGTTACAGGGGTTGTAACTGTTGTCACAGCATCAGTGAAGATAGCTGATGTGTGGCCTGCGTTCAATGATCGAGGCATTGTTGGCGTAGCAGGGCTTCCGACCATCATAGTTTGCACTCCGGTCGTTGCATTCAGGGTGAGTGCACCTGTATGTGCAGTGAATAGTGTAGGTGTCCTAGAAAAATGTGAAAATGTAGGAATGGTGACACCTAGACTCGATGTGATAGAACGGATGGGGGTAGTGGTCCGGGGCTGTTGACCACTAAGTCTCTCAGCAGATTCGGAAGGAATCAGTGAGGTCGGTGTAAGTTCCCCTTGAGTTATTGAAACCCCAGTCTGTTGGGAGACTGGAGAGTGGATGGGAGATGGTCGTGCATGCGCAGTTGAACTGGATGCTGCGACTTCTACCCGGGAACTGACAAGGTCAGCTCCTGCTCCTTGGGGCGTGGTTCGGTCTATGGTGACGAAGGTGTCGCAGTCATCGTACAGTGCCAGCTCCTCTTCCACTGCACTCTTCTTTCTGAGCCTCTTCTTAGGCTGTGATGATGCAGGCTTCTCATTGCGTTTCTTGGAGCGCTGCTCACTGATGATGATCCCTTTGAGTGGTCGGGGTGTGAGTGCAGCCTCAATATCTTCTGATGAGGAGTCGGAGTCTATCGGAATGGCCTGTTTACCAGCTCTCTTCCTGTTGCTGATCAGGACTCCCTCCATGTCATCATCATCATCTGCATCATCATCATCCTCATCTCTTCGTTCATTCCCTTTGGCCATGCTATCGGAGGCCTCACCACCAACCTTATTAGAATGGGCCTGGCTGGATGGTTCATCGGCAGTGTCCTCAGCATCGGGTTGGCCCTCAGCAGTCTGGGTCCTCTCGGAAGAGTTACCAGACTGATCATCATCAGGCCGGGTTGCCACTGGTTTCTGTGGCGGGGCTCTCTTCCTTTTACCCTTACTCGCTCTTGGCTTGGTTCCTGGGGTAGGTCCAGCTGGGTTTTGCTGAACCATAGGAACCGTTCTCTTCAACGACTCTTTGTAGTCAATGACTGCCTTATCCCTTGGGTTTGCTAGATCAAGCAAGGAGTCCGGGATAGGCAGTGCTTCAGCCTTGTTGCTGTCTCTCTGAAAGTACTTGAGCTTTGGAGCGGTGAAATGCTTGTCCTCCTTACGCTTTGGCATTGTCGGGGTGGCCTCCATAATGTTGTGAATGATCAGCGCCAGCCACCGAGCGTAGGGGATGGTGTTTCCTTTGTTGTTCTCTTTAATCTTCACTTGATCCATCAGCTCTGTCCAGAAGAGCTGGGCCATGTCGTAGTTCATATCAAAGGCAATCCCATGGAAGATTTGCAGAATTTGCTTGTTGCACTTGTCGTGTCCGGCGTGCTTAGGAGACAAGCATTTGTTGACCAGGCCGAACAGACTCTTCCATGGGTGAGGAACATTTGAGATTGTGAAGTTTGACAGCAATGGCAGTGGGCTGTCATATCCCAGATCTTTCATCCCCTTGATCAGTTCTTCGTTGGAGGGGAGTGGTGCGTAGCTTTGGTGCATTGGGAGCTTCAGAGTCTCCCGGATTGTAGAGGGTGTTAGCACCACTCTCTTGTCAGCTAGTTTGGTCATGATCTTTGACCGATCCTTCTTACTCTCAGTTCGCATGCAGCCCCAGAATTGCTGCAGGTATACCTCTGGTACCGGTTTGGCCTCATTGAATGCAAACCAGAGGTAGTGCTTCTGTAGAATGGAGAGAATGACCGGGTCCTGACATTTGAAGAGCTTCAGGTCCAATTGGAAGTTGTTGTCGTATATTGGGATCCAGTTCTCTTTTGGGTACAGTTCACCGCTTGATTGTGCATTCTTGCCTGTTCCTGACATGATTGACTGAAAGAATTTGGTCAGCACAATTGTTCATTTGAAAATTTTATTTTTGTTCTGTTTTTCCAATTGTTCAGATCAGTTGTGTATAGGTGGGACTTCGAAATCATTCTAAGTGTAAACCACGAGAACCAGCTTTTCGAGGTTTAAATGTCGAGAAGTAGGTTCCCGAGGTTTAAATACCGAGAGGCTCTTCTCGATATTCAAACATCGAGAACTTGGTTCTCGAGGTAGGAATATCGAAAAGTCCTTCTCGAGGTTTAAACATCGAGAAATACTTTCTCGAGGTTTAAATATCGAGAAGCACTTCTCGGTATTTCAACTTCGAGAAGCTGATTCTTGATACTTAAATATCGAAAAGTCTTTTCGAGGTTTAAACATCGAGAACCGGATCTCGATTTTGAAATAGCGAGAAGTTCAATCTCGAGATTTAAACTTCGAGAAACTAAGTTTCTCGAGTTCGCACTTAGAGTAGAGTCGATAACCACCTGCAAATATACAAAATACATAATGATAAGGAAAAACTTTTCGATGTTTCAAGTTCATAGTTCGAGAAAGATGGTTCTCGATATACAAACTCAAGAAATTTTCTCAGGTTTGTATTCGAGAACCTTGACATTATGCGCAAAAACCAGTTCATTGTTGTTTTTCATGATCGAGAACTATTATTACTACCTTTGGAAGATTTTTGAGAAGGATTTGAGAATGATGAAATGCGAGAAAGTTTTGAGGACTCCGAGAACTTAGATGCGAGAACGACGAAATATGCGAAAACTTGGTTCTCGAGGTCCTATATGTATGCGAGAATTGAGATGGGCCTAGCGAGAAAGTTTTGGACCCATTTGTTTGAGTTGGGCCCCGATCTGTTTTAAAAGTTTTGGGCCTCAAAATTTTGTAAAAAAACTTTATTTATGTACAGTCCCTTTCTAAAAATACTCTTTTTCATTCTTTTCTAACTGATTTTCTCACACACACACATTTTTCAGAATTTCTCCCCCTCAAAGTATACACACTCTTTTTCTTTTCTTTTCTCTCTTTTTCACTTTTTTATTATTATTATTTTTTTTTTATTTTTTTTTATTTTTTTATTACACCCCCTGAACACATGCAACGCACACAACACACACACGCATATATACAGACCAGTAGGAGACATAATTATACTGGCGCAAGATTCAACATGCCTAACTTAGATACCAAGAACTGGAATCTCTGTTCGTCCAGTGCCTTAGTAAACAAGTCAGCCAGTTGAAACTCTGTGCTCACAAAATATAGGTCAATATCTCCTTTTTCCACATGGTCCTTGATGAAGTGAAAGCGCAGATCGATGTGTTTGGTGCGAGAGTGATGAACGGGGTTGCTGGTGATGGCAATTGCGCTCTGGGAGTCACTGTAGATCGGGATGTGATTGAAAGTGAAGCCGTAGTCTTTGAGCTGTGTTCGCATCCAAATGATTTGTGAACAACAACTAGCAGCCGCAACGTATTCTGCTTCAGCTGTAGATGTTGACACGCAGTTTTTTTTCTTGGAGGACCAGCAGACTAGCTTTTCTCCTAAGAATTGAGCACTTCCCGACGTACTCTTCCGATCCATCCGACAACCAGCAAAGTCAGCATCAGTATATCCAATTAGGTCAAAACCTGAGTTCTTGGGATACCACAGACCCAGATTGACTGTGCCTTTTAGGTATCTCAAGATTCTTTTCACAGCAGAGAGGTGAGATTCTTTGGGATTAGCTTGAAAACGCGCGCACACGCATGTGGAGAACATAATGTCAGGTCTGCTGGAGGTAAGATACAGCAAAGATCCAATGATAGCCCGATAGTGAGTAGCATCGACTGGTTTCCCGGTGGGGTCCGAGTCAAGCTTATTGTTGGGGGACATAGGCGTTCTTATGGATGCAGTACCTTCAACATTGAATCTCTTCAGCATGTCCAGAATGTATTTTGATTGATTGATGAAAATCCCATCTGACAGCTGTCTCACTTGCAGACCAAGAAAGAAGTTCAATTCTCCCATCATGCTCATTTCAAACTTTGTTTTCATCAGCTCTTCAAACTGCTTACATAGATCAGGATTGGAGGAAGCAAAGATGATGTCATCAACGTAGATTTGAATTAGAAGAATATCATTGTCTTGACGCTTGATGAACAAAGTTGTATCAATCTTTCCTTTTGAGAAGCCTGATTCTGTTAAGAAATCTGTCAGTGCATCATACCAGGCTCTCGGTGTTTGCTTCAATCCGTACAGTGCTTTATTCAGTTTATACACATGATCAGGAAATCTTGGATCTATAAATCCTTCAGGCT